GTGTGTCAGAATTGTGACCTAGAACCTAGCAAGTCTCATAGGGATGTGTGACAGTGATATTGAAAACAACTGGTGGGGTACTAGCCTGTAACAAGCAGGTGCTTATGCTTGGGAGTGATGTGATTGTCTGTGTGCTGGGTCTGCTGGGCGAAAGTTGTTTGTATGTGTCGTGGTGTCACATTGTAGGGGACACCATGCCAGCAGCCTGTGATTCAGTACATAAAGTACCTGGGGACCTGATGTGTGTCGGTAAAGTATGAGAAAGGCTGCATCAAACTCCCTATTGGGTGTGGTCTGTGGCCCAGCCATGACTGGGATTTGTATTGGGAGACCGTTAGTTGCCATATGTACCTGTGCCAGGTACGGTTCTGACAACTGAACAGAGGACATGACCGTCCTCCGTGGCCAAGGGATGTCCCCTGCCATCGTTCTCTTCTCTAGGCTCACTTGCACAGGAGGGCGAATGCCAGTGACTTGGGCTATATGCAGCTGGTGGTGCTGTCTATCTGCTAAAAGGGCATGAGCTTATCTAATACACATGAATTCTTAGCAGTAAAATGTGTGCCTTTCTTCTTAAAGAAGGCAGCATGCTGGTGTTTAGCTGTACAACCTTTAGTTTTTCATTTTTGAGTGCTTTTGTATTTCTGTCACACGACTGAAGGTAATAGCTCTTCACTTAGCAGTATGGCAGTATGTGCAAAAGTCCCTCATTCTAAGTGCTGTTTTTCTCCCCCATTTACTAAAACATCTGTGTTAAACAGCTGGCTTTCAGTTTTAACTGTTAGGCCCACAGAGTACAGTTTTCACTGCTTAGTAATGGACTTTGTATTTCCCTTGGAAATAAGCAAATTATTGTATTCTATACCAGGACTGATAGTTAATATTTTCCAATAATGACAGTTTTAGAGAAGCCTGGTTGTGTAGCAATCTAACAGTGAGAGCAAAGATCTTTCTTGAGTAACTGTCAACATATATTGTTATGAATAATGAAGGATTTTTCTGACAAAACACACTGCTATTAAAAATGGAGATGAGATGATGTGATAGATCAGTATTTATTTTTAGCAGGTGCTATTTCTTTTACCTATCAACTTCTATTTTACACTGGCTGTTTCTTAAAAGAAAAAAAAAGTCCTCTGTATTCATTTATGACTGCACTGCTTTTCTTTCTCGACACTGCCAGGCTCAATAACCTCACAACTCCAGCAATCACCCGCCACTCAGGAAAATTAGCTTTTGAATTTACAACAGCTCTTCATTAGGCTATGTTGGCTGCTATTTTAAAAAAGTAATTCATTTTATAGTTTGTTTATGTGTTTCCACATTCTCATGGAGCAAAGAAAGGCTTGAGAGAGAGTATTAATCTGTAATTTTATCTTAAGGAATTCTCTGTGTTCTCATTATTTTATTACTGATTTTATCTTTCTGAAATATACGTAAGTCAATTTAAGTAAGTCATCACATTCTGAAACTTCTGCATTGTAATAAATATTGCTTCAGTCAAGAAACTGTCCTCTTAATTTCAAAGGGATCACTTACTGAACTAGTTGCTAGTAAGCATGAAAAAAGGACAACACAATCTGGCTGACAACCTTTGACTTCCATACAACTGCTCAATGGGTAGACGGTCACCAACATGCCTAAGGAGACAATTTGCCGTACATCTTCATATGTGGTCCCTTATAGCTATATGGCGAACCTGAAAGGCCAGCAGACTCCTATTTAAACAATCTCCATGAGTGGAAAATGTTGGTTCAGGGATTATAAATCATCAATAAGTTGCTCATGTGTGAAATGGAAAGCCATCCTGAGGTCAGCTTCCAGTAAATTCTTCCTAAGCTCAGGCAATTTAGAAGCACCTGGCTAAGCCCCCTAATTGATAGACTGCTATGACTTCAACAACAAGATAGGGCTATCAGACAATAATGACTTAATCTGAACTTTGAAACACTGCTACTTTTTCAAATAAAGAGACCAGTGCTGTAGCAAATGTACCTGCAACAGGGCAGCACGGTCCAAACTGTTCTGCGGTGAGGATGGTGCTCTACAAGGAACACACAGTGTTCTTGATCCTTACGAGTTGCATGCCAACATCTTTGGATAGCCGAATTCGCAGGACATGACCGACGATGCTGGAGAGCCGAGAGACAGCAGAGTTTGAAGAGTGAAGCAACTGGCAGTGTTTTCCTAGGGTTTCCACCTCTTCATTGCAGGATGGAGCTGGCTGTGATGGGTGTGCAGCTGGTTCACAATATCAGCCAGTAACATCAGCTTCAGCTACTTCTGCCTGCTTGTTTCCTCCCTGTGTTTAGGATTCAGCAACCCCTGTGGCAGTTCTGGCTTACTTGTGATTACAAGATATGACCTGAAGGCTTAGGTTGCCCATTTTCTCTGCTCCATGAGCTAATGAAGGATTAAAGGAGTATATCAACAAGCATTTGAAAGCTGTGATTCTTTTGGGTCATCTGCTTTTAAGTTGTACTTTTTGCTGATACACTGAGAGCTCTTATTTCCAAATGTTTGATAAACCTTTGAGTGGTCTTCCCAGTGCTATGGGGTTCTAAGGCCATATTTTCTTACTTGTCCAACATGCATTTTCCTGAGGGAAGATACTGATGCTGTGTCCCCTATTGATGCCATATTGCTTTTCTTTCTCAGTAAATTTTCCGTGTAAATGTCAAAGTCTCCAAAAGATCACAGGGGAAAGGAGAGAGAAGGGAGATACTGAGAAAGCAGAAAGGGTATCCTGAAATGATTAGCGAGCACAGTGAAAACACAGAGAATGGGGCATAATCTAAGCAACAGCTTCCCACATAAACATTGTACAGTATGGTTTATAAAAGGTCAAAGGCCTGCCCTGTAGAAAGTAAGGTTGGTTTAGAAAACTGTTTTTTGTCTGGTTTATCCAGTTCATGGATGACTCTCTTCTTTCTTAAGCCATGATATTCTAGCAGATTTTACCAAGCATGCTTGCTTTTTGATCTGCTACACTCAAAGGCATTTCTGCTCTTCCGGTTGCGGAATATGACGATAGAGTGTCCACATGCAAACGTTGTGCTAGATCATTTCTTGTGCGCCCCAAAGTTAGGGTCCTTTAAGAAATTCAGAAGAACAATAATTGCTTGAAAAAAGCTTTTGTTTAAAACAAAAGGAAATAGGAGATGTGATCGGATTCTGGACTGCTTGGATGGCAACCCGGAGAGGTCATTCTGAAATATATCAATATATTGATACCTGATGGGACAGAGTAGAGAAGACAGAGCCAGACTGGTCTCTGTGGCACCCAGTGAAATAACAAGAAGCAATGGGCACAAGCTGAAATACAGGAAGTTCCATTTAAACACAGGAAAATCTTTTTTGCTGTGAGGATGATTAACACTGTCTCCCATAACATCCTCATAGGCGAGCTCGGGAACTGCAGGGTAGATGAGTGGATTGATAGTGGGGTGGATTGAAATCTGGCTGAATGACAGAGCTCAGAGGGTTGTGATCAGTGGTGCAGTCTAGCTGGAGGCCTGTAGCGGTGTCCCCCCAGGGGTCAGTACTGGGTCCAATCCTGCTCAATTTGTTCATCAGTGACCTGGATGAAGGGACAGAGGGCACCCACTGCAAGTTTGCTGATGATACTAAACGGGGAGGAGTGACTGATACACCAGAAGACTGTGCTGCCATTCAGAGAGACCTCAACAGGCTGGAGAGATGGGCAGAGAGGAACCTTGTAACCTTGTGAAGTTCAGCAAAGGCAAGTGCAAAGTCCTGAACCTAGGGGAGGAATAACCCCTGCACCAGGACAGGCTAGGGGTTGACCTGCTGGAAAGCAGCTCTGCAGAGAAGGACCTGGGAGTCCTGGTGGACAACAAGCTGACCGTGAGGCAGCAGTGTGCCCTTGTGGCCAAGGTGGCCAATGGTATCCTGGGGTGCATGGGGCAGAGTGTTGCCAGCAGGTCGAGGAAGGTGATCCTGCCCCTCTCCTCAGCCCCGGGTGAGGCCTCACCCGGAGTGCTGTGTCCAGTTGTGGGCTCCCCAGTACAAGAGAGACATGGCGCTTCTGGAGCGAGTCCAGCAAAGGGCTACTGAGGTGATTAATGGAGTGGAGCCTCTCTCCTATGAGGAAAGGCTGAGAGAGCTGGGCCTGTTCATCGTGGAGAAGAGAAGGCTGAGGGGGGGGGGATCTGATAAATGAGTTTAAATATCTGAAGGGAGGGTGTAAAGAGGATGGGGCCAGACTCTTTTCAGTGGTGCCCAGTGACGGGACGAGAGGCAACGGGCACAAACTGAAACACGGGAAGTTCTGTCTGAACCTGAGGAAAAACTTGTTTACTCTGAGGGTGAGTAAGCACTGGCACAGGTTGCCCAGAGAGGCTGTGGAATCTCCTTCCTTGGAGGTATTGAAAAGCTGTCTGGACAGGGTCCTGGACAGCCTGCTTTAGGTGACTCTGCTTTGAGCAGAGGTGTTGGACTAGATCTGTAGATGTCCCTTCCAACCTCAACCATTCTGTGATTCTGTGATTTTGTAATGGCGTACGGCATCATAAACAATTTGGGATAAGAAAAGCTTTCTGAGCCTTGACAAGCTAATTATTAATTCATTGCAATGTCTTTATCTATATGTATGAATTACTACCACTGTAGCAAAGCTCTAGAGATTCATGTGAGCCAACAGGGATGTGGCTTTTTGCCGTGCTTCCTATGGACACCGTTGCTGTTTTATTAAATAAGTTGATTTAGGAGAAATCGCCACTGCATTTAATAACCCTTGCACCTGACTTAATTTTTACTAGAAAGATTTAAGCTTTTCCAGTAGATTGGATTGTATGTCAACTCGGCATCAAGAATTTCTGCCTTTTCTTTTTCTCCTGCATGATTGACATCTTGCCACTGATGCAAAGTGAATTACACCAAGGGAAAACATCATTCGAAAATACTAGAATAATTAGTATAATTGTTTTACTTATCAAATTATATTGAAAACATTGCTCAATCTGTTTTTCTCTTCTCAGTTAGTAGCATCCATCGTGTTTATCAGCTTTGGCGTGGTAGCAGCGTTCTGTTGTGCAATAGTTGATGGAGTGTTTGCTGCACGACATATAGTAAGTACAGTGATTTTCTGTTATCTTTCATTTTTGATTACTTATATCATTTCTGGCAGGAAAGAGTTTTCTTCTGGGTTAGCAGCGTATTAGTTTTTTTATAGTTCTTCTTCTTAGAGAAATGTCGTTTGGCAAAAAATTGACAAGAAAGCCCATCATGCCAATACCCAGAGATTTTGCCAATCGCTTATTCATCTCTCAGAGTTCCAAATACTGAGGTGATGTAAAATGATGTAATGACAGGGGCACATAAATTAATACCTGCTTAGGAAAAGAGGGACACTTCAGCTGCCGCCAGCCTTTATTTCATTTTGCAAATAGGCTTTGTGAGTCTGGTCAGGATTTGGAACGCATCAAACAGTGAAGAACACCAAAAATGCCATTGCTGTCTTTAGTGGGAAAGTGGATTGTGACAGCATAGAAGGGATCATTTTCATGGAGCAAAGAGAGCAGAGAGAGTGGAAGGCTTTGGTTAGAGGTTGCATGAAAGGGCACGTACTGAGTGACAAACAACCCAAACCTGACCGTCTACCTGCCAACAAAGGGTCATCGATGATGTAACCAGAGTGACTAGTATTTCCAGTGTGTCTTCCAAACCCAGTCCCCTCTCTTGCCCAAAACCCGTTACCATCTTTGCTTCATAAGGGTATTTATAGAACTGCAGAAGCAGTAGTATTACCAGTAGTTTGTAACTACCCATCAGTGCCTAGGCATCTTTCTCATGCTCTAACACCTTCTTAAGGTAGTTACTACACAAACTTCGAACAAACAGTGATTTTTTGGCTCACAAAGTTTAAATTAAAGTATTAGGCAAGAAGGATCAATCAAGGGACAAGGCAGACAAATTGGAGCGTGGGGTCATCTGCATAGGTCAGTTTCATGTATCAGATATGTATTTTAGGCTGCTCTGTCTTTTGCAGTTAAATACCTAAAAATCAATCTAAAAGCAACCTTTGAGTTGAGCTTTGGTTTGAAAAAATATCAGGAAAGTTAAATGTTGTAATAGTCACTGGGACTCAGATGTAGTGTGCTGCATAATATAGCAACTAATGATGGTATATGAGCCCCACACTAGCACAAAATATCATGGGTCTGGGCATCTTTCTGCTTGCGTTTGTTGAAGGGTAAATGTAGCAGCACTGGCACCACTAGAACTATACCTAAATCTTTTGTTAGTGAATGCATCAGAAGAATTAGGCTCTGGATCATGTGGAACATATAAAGCTGTAAAACAATTGCTTTTTTTACTCCAGTTGAAATGAACTTTATACCAAATGTGGGTTTCAAAATCTCATGTGCATGTCACAAGGAAGGAGGCATCTACTGGTATAAACAGCTGAGTTGTGCAATGTGAACATGAATGAGCACTCTGCATTAAAATCATGTTCTGTGCTAAACAGACCCTGCCAGAACCTGAAGTGGCTTGCTTTTACTCTGATTGGCACTGCTGTTGCACAGTGTGAAAACTGGTATAACTGTATTTCTGATTATGGTGGGAGTGTAAGCCTAGGAAGCCTTTCCATGAGAGCTACTTAAAAGAGGGGAGGAGCAGATTCCTGCTTAGCTCACCTGCTCCTAAAAATTCACAGTGATTATATCCCAGAAAACTGTTGCCATTTATTCAAGCATTGGGCCTGACTCCTAATTTCACAGGAATCAGACTTATTTTTCACCTGCTTTGATCTGATCATTAGGAAGTGTTCAAATTGCACATGTATAGGAAGAGAAATGTGAATGACTTGGGTTCTTTTTAAAAAGAATCTTTTCATTTCATGCTTACCGAGTACCCAGATCACTCTCTCACTTGCTGTTGGCTTGTAGTATTATTAGTTTTAGCACAATAGGAGTAGCTCCAATTCAGTACCACTTTGCCATTCTTTGCGACTTGCTTGGTTTTCCCTGTATTTCTACCATGCTTCACTGTGTGATAGCTTCTTAATCTTCCCTGATTCCTTTGCAGAGTCTTCAGAACATCAGTGCCATTCTGAATGTAAATGTAGTGTGATCTGTAGTCATCCTTTGTGTACAGCATACAATCCACATCCAGGGCAGGGGGGAAGTTATGTTAACTGTTCTGTAATGAGTCTGTTCACCCTTAGCCTGAGAGCTGGAGTGGTGCAGGGTACTATCTGCTTTCCCAGCTGTGCCATGATCTCCCTGCAGTGCTCTGCGAGATCTCTGGTGCAACAGCTGCATTGGCTTTATGACTGTGACACAGTTATGCAGCTACAACCCCACACTGCTGAGGTTAGACATAGTTTTGACTTCTGTAATGCAAGCTACTGTTTCAGAGGACACTGTATGCTGAATCTCAAACATAGAGACACACATCAGCCCTTGCATATTTCTAGGTGTTTTCTCCATCAGTTTTCACTCTTTTGGCTTTAAGGTCCTTTCACATGCCTTATTTAGCTATTCTAGAAACTACATTGCTTCCTACCTAAATCAAACTGCAGTATCATATCCTAACATTATCATACCTTTACCACTGAAGAAACTGGATCTCTAGGATCTTATTCACCTCCTCTTATCAGTGCATAAATAGCTGTATGGCTTTTCTTGCTGCCATGGCATGCCTTAATGTGTGCTTATGGACGTTATCTCATTCTATTCCTCTGTCTGACAAGGAACTTAATAAAATCAGGTGAAGTAAAGATGTATATCACCTAATTTCTCTGACTGACATACCTGGGGAAATCTGTAGGGATGGGTGTAAGAACACTCCCAATTTGTCTTATGATAGAGCTGGGACCGTATCAAAAGAAGGTGGGTCACGCAGACTGTGGTGTCATTGCTGCTGCATTAGTAGTTCATTACCTTTCCTCTGCTCTACATAGCTAATTGCCTTCAGGAGGAGCAGTAACAATGCAGTAAGTCCATTCCCCCACAGACCTTTACTGACTGTTTTCAGACCTATGTTGTGCTGCCAGTACTCTGGCCACTGCCTTTGGGGGATACCTGCTGGAGACTGGGATTAAACTGTCCTCCGCTCAAAGAAAGGCCCAACTCCTGGCATGTAGGTGCTTAGGTCTACATTAAAGTCTTAATGCTTTAATAAGGAAAAGTTGGGTTGTGTTCTCTTTCATCTCTGCAGTATCAGGGTGCTGATACCAAGACCCCAGGCCCCTTCCTTCCTGAGGGGGAACTGCTAGCTCAAGCCAACAAATACAACATCCTCCTTCACATCAGTTCAGAATAAGAAATGTCTCCTGTTTTTCATTTTATTTTTAACTTCATTTGAGTTGGGAGGGATGCTGAGAAGACAAATCACAACATTATAGATTTTTTTCTCCGTGTGTGCCTGCTTTTGAATGGAGACTATTACTGTTGAACATTTTCTCCTGCTCTTATAAAACTGCAGATAGAATAATAAAATACTTTCTCTGCTCCATTTTCTTTTCAAGAAGGCATAAAATTGACAAAAATTATTCCTGGAAGGGGATGTATTTCAAAAAAGAGATATTTAAATTATTTAAGACTCATTTAAAAACACTTTGCTTAATAGAAAGCTCTGGAGCACAGCACTTATAAAATTAAAAATACTGAAGGAAAAGCAGTTTGATTTAAAGTAGCACTAGCTTATCTGAAAAATAATGCAGATGTAATTTACTATGTTAAGTTAATTTCACCACTGGTCCCTTCAGCAGCGCTCTTCACCTTCAAGAAAAAAAAACAAGAGCCAGAATCAAATGAAATAAAACCTAGAATTAATGTGCAGTGATGCAGTGATTTTTAGCTTTCTGGTTATCCCCCAGGCAGAATCTAAAAGAGCCAGCAACAAGAAATCCACTCATGAGGTGAGGAAATTGCCTACAAGAGCTTTCTGAGGAGGTCAAGAACAAGACAGGCAACTAAAGCCTGGGCAAACATTTTAAGCTGTGGAGACAAATGCCTTGTATTGTTTTCTTACATACTTGACTGGGAATCAGAGAACAGCAATAGTGACATGTGGCCAGTCACATTTTCCTGAAGTGTGGGCTAAAAAGAGACACTGACAGCCTGAAAGTTCTGGAAGAAACCCAGGGTTCAGGTGAAGTCTCCTCTGCTTGAGTATGAGAACTGCTCTTTGGTCTTGTTGAATAGAATGGAATTCACAGACAACATCAGGGCAGATTTATGAGAAGAGACAACAAAAAGGTGAATCAGAGCTGAAGAGCTTGGGATATCGAGAATGAGAACACCAGAAGATGTGTAAGTGAAGCTGCAGCTTGTGACTGTTGCCCTTATCCTTTCTCCGGGCACCTCTTTGGTTCTGTCTTCTCTATAATGATGCTTTAGGTAGTTCAAGGCAGCAAAAAGATCTCACCCTAGGCCTTCCCTTCTGCACATTGAACAAGCCCTGTTCCTTCAGTCTGTCCTGGTACATCATGTGCTCTAGACCCCTGGTCACCTTAGTGGCCCTCCACTGGTTTGTTCATGTCTTTCTTGTATTGGAGAGGGACTAAAATTGGACGCTGTACTCAGATGTGGCCTTCTGAGTGTTTGTTAGAGGGGAAAAATCACTTCCTCCAGCCTAGAGGGTATGTTTTTGCTAATGCAGCCCAGCTGGACTGCCAGCTAGGCAACCGGTCGTCACTGCTGCAAGGGCCCCTTGCTAATTTATGTTCGGCTTGTCCACAAGCACCTCAGTTCTTTTTTGCAGAGCTGCTACCTAGCCAGCTTGAACTATTGCATGGTGTTATTCCATCCCAGATGCAGGATTTTGCATTGACACTATGCAAAAAGTAAAGGAATACAGTCAAGGGATTTAGATTCAGGTTCAGCCGGTTTTAAAGAGGCATTAGATTTGTCTTCTAAAATTCTATCACCAACAGAAAAGAGTAAAGAGGTTTGGATGCGATATTAATTGCCATTTCATTAACATTTTTGGCTTTCTTTTCAGCATGACCTGAGCTGAATTTTCTGTTTATAGAGCTTAAGTCTTTGATAATGACCCCGGTGTACCTTATTCTTAACGACTGCTACATCCTCTTAGCTGAAGTTCTATTTTAGTGCAGTTT